CACCTTGACCCCCGCCCGTCTCTCCCCCAGGGTGAACCAGCTGGTGATGCCACCCGCACCCGTCAAAGTCTGAGGCCGTGAGTGCAGCCGGGTGGAGGGGCCCCTGGGGGGTGGGGCGGGGTCAGGGAGCACCTTGCAGGGCCCTGGGGAATGTTCTGGAAGCAGGAACAGCTTCTCCAAAGGCACCTCCTTCGCTGGGCACGTTCCACTGACCCTGGGCTTGGCCCGCTTCTCTAGAACTGTTGCCCGAATTGACCGGTGGGTCCGGGGGGGCGGGGGTCCAGGCCAGGACTGGTAGAAAGCCCCTGCTCTACCCTCCCAGCGCCGGGCGACTCCGAATTTGACCTCACCCTGGGCTTGGCCTCCAGGGGCCACGCTTCCCAGCAGTGCAGGATCCAGGGTCACCACCCCCATGTCCCCTGCTGCCCCCAGAGCCCTGAGAAAGGCCTCTTTCTTCAAACGGCAGGGAGCCCCGCCGGTGACCTGGCTTCTCTCTCTAGGTGCCCCCAGGATGGCGAAGAGACCGTGCCGTCGCCCTACCTGGGAGGTGTCCCAGGGCATCCCGGCCCTGCCGGGCTGACACGAAGCTTTCTATGTGACCCGAGGCTGGGCTCCCACCCTCTCTGGTGCGGGCCTGCCGAGTGGCCGTGGCACCAAGAGTCCGCGTCCTCAACTGACGTGGAAGGCTGCGTGTGGGGGAGTCGCACGGACGGACAGACTCCCAGCCGCTGGGGCCCAGGGAGGACGCAGCCCCCAGCGCGTGTGTGGGGAGAGCCTGGGGCGTCACCACCTTACATGGTCCTGGGCGGCTGGACTTTCCCACGGGACAGCTTTGGAGACCCTGGACTGCACAGAGAAGGGGCGGCCCAGGCCTCGGGGCAGAGCTTCAGGCTCTGACCTCGGGGGTGCTGCTGGGCACTGGGCACGACCCTCCGGAGGACACTGGTCCCTGCCGCCGGGGCTGGCGCTCGGCCTGGCGGTCTCCTAGGTGAGGGCCACCCAGGCGGGGACCCGACCGCACACCCTGTGCCCACGGTGCCCAGGGCACCTCCACTCCCACCGCCCCCCCTGCCACGTGCATTTGCACACCCCTGCCCCTGCTCCACACACGCTCCCCGCACACTGGCTGGAATCAAGGTGGCGGGTAGGAGACCCCAAGAGCCAGCCTAGGCGACGCTTTGCCCTGTAGTTTCCGCCGGCGTGGCTTCAGTGTGTGCAAGCTAGCAGGCACCTGCTCCTCACCCAGCTCTGGGGTACCTGCGAGGGGGTGGGACCCCCAAAGACCAGCCTGGCCGCCTCCCACCCCAGCCTCAACCGGGGCCCCAGCGATGTTTTCTTGTTGTACAAGAACCAGGTCCAAGTTCGCCTCCTCTTCCTTCCGGAAGCCAAACTCCTCCTTTATTTTTTAGAGCTGCTGATTGTGAATCTCAGAGTCTTAAGAGAAAAACCAAATATATTCCTCTTGTAAATGAAGGAATAAACCTATTTAAATCATGGCCCGCTGGCTCCCCCAGCAGAGCAGCCCGGGGGCGGGGGACACGGGGCACCACGCGCTCCCTCCGGCTCGTTTGTGAAGATCACGGTGAAAACACTGGGGTCTCTGGGGCGGGGCCCGCGCTCAGGGTTTTCGGGCCTTCCTGAGCTGCGCTTTCTTCCTCTTGGCCCCGCTCTGGAGGAGGCTGGGGCTCCTGCTGGCCAAAGACAACCTGGCCTTTTTCCGCGGCAGCGCAGACTGTGGGGACTTGCCGGAGACCCCCTTTTCGGGCAGATCCTTCTGAGGCTGCTTCTTGCCAGCAGGCTCCACGGGGGACACGGGAGCGGCCCCGTTCACCTGGGACAGCTTCCGCTTTTTCTTCAGCTTTGGGGTCTTGGCGGGGGTGCCGGGGCCCGTGATGGCGGCGGCGGTGGTGGGGTCCGGGGCCGGCCTCTGCTTCGCCTGGGCCTGGGCGGGCACCGTGGCCTTCCTCCTGTTCCTCCTCTTCTTGCCTGTGCTGGGGGGCTGCTGCTCACCAGCGGCTGCAGGCCTGGCACCCTCCTCTTGCGCGGGACCCTCTGACTTAGGCTTCTTGCGCTTCTTTGTTTCTGGCAAGAATCCTTTTTTCTTCCTCTTCGTGCTAACGGGGTTCTGCGTGACGCTGGGGACTTCCTTGGCCTCCTTCTTCGCTGACTTGGGGCGCCTGCAAGGCAGCAAAATGAGAGAAGGGAACCCACCCCTGTGGAACGGAGGGACAAAAGCTGCCCAAGAGCTCCCCCCGGGATAACGCACACTACGAGGGTCCCGCGGGCCCCCACTGGACGGTGAGGGCCCTCGTGGCCTGCCGGGACCACCCTGGGGCACACGCCCCAGGAGGGACCCTCCCCCGCCTCCCGGCACGTACTGGACTCCCAGCGCCTTCATGGCCTGCCAGTAGAGGTCGTAGAGGCGGCTGGACCCGGCCGCACACTCCCTCTGCTGCAGACTCTGCTGCTTGCTCTGCAACACGCCCAGGACGGCGGTCAAGTCCACGGTCAGCTTCTGCGGGGACAGGGAAAAGGGTGGCCGCAGAGGTGACGGGAGGCAGGGCCTCTGCCTGGCTCTGGGTCCCCAGTCCTGCCACCCCTCCTGCCTGTGCGTCAGGCCTCCGTCACCTGGGAGGGAAGGAGAGCCCCCTCCCGCAGCCAGAAGGCCCCACCCCTTCCTCGACCCCCCTCAGGCCTCTCTCTGCCCAGAGCCCCCCTGTGCCCTCCCTGCCACGCAGCGAATGGATTAATTTTGTAACCCACTGCCCCCCCGGGTGCACCTGTGGTCTGCGCAGCCTTGGCCCAGGAGTCTGCTCCCCGAGACGCCCTGCCAGCGGGCTCTGACCAGCATCCTCGCTAAGGACTCCTGGACCCTCCCCCCCACCCCCCAGGGCTGGACTTGGGGAACCACTCACCCCCAGCTCCTGGCGGCCCATAAGCGCCTCGCTCGCAGGCCCACCCCTCCCCAGGCCCAGAAACGTGCTGGCCAGGACCCTCCTCACATCCTCCCGTGAGTTCGGCTCACCCCGACCCTGCCCATGCTCCCCGCCCCCACCTCCTGGTGAATGGTCCTGAAGAGGGTGTTGAGCAGCCCCAAAGACGACAGTTCCTTCTGATGCTCCGACTTGGTCTGCGCCTCACCCAGCGTCCGCAGGTTCTAGGGGGAGAGACGGCCAGCTGAGCCGCTCTGCAGGACTGCCCACTGGACCCTGGACCCCGAGGGAGGGGAGGTCTTGGGGTTGGGGCAGGGCATCCCGACCCCTCCCCCCGAGGCTCAGGGCCCCAGAAAATCACCCTGGACGGGAATATGGGCGGCAACCCCGCCCCCACCATGACCCTCACCTCCGTGACCTTCGCCAGGATCTGGCTGACCAGCTGCTCCCACTCAGGGTCATCAAAGCACACCCGCAGCTCCCGTGTGGGCAGGGCCTTCTGGAGCAGCAGGCAGGCCTGGGCCTAGGGGGGGTGCGGTCACGGGGGCTTCAGCGTGCAGGCCCCGAGCTTGAGAAGCCACTGCTGCGGGTCCCACCTGCCTGACCCTGCAGCCCTGGCCTCAGCAGCCACCTGGGCCCGGCCCCCACCAGGAGCAGAGACGGCCGCCGTGGCACAGAGGGGGCAGCTGGGACAGCACCCGGCCCTCTCACTCGCTCAGGGCCATCTTCCTCCGGGCTCACAAGCCCCTGTCCCACCCATCCAGGCCCGGGGACAGCTAGAGGCCTCGGCCGCAAAGGTCAGAGTGTGCATGTGGAGGAGCCCGAGGGTTCAGGCCACGGGATGTGGCCGTGGTGGGAGCAAAGCCTCCCCTTTCCCCGTGACCCTGTGCACACGGCGGGGCAGGGGCTGACCAGGTCAAAGGGGCAGGGGTGGGCCTGCCCTAGCCTGGGCGTTTCCTGGGCCTCACAAACACCCAGCCAATGGTGAGTCATGGGGGGTAAATCAGGCCTGGGGCCGGGACCTGGGAAGTCCCTACCTGATGGCGGGGCCGCGCTGGGCCCGTCACGTGCTGGATCACGACGGGCAGCAGGCTCTTACACAGCACCTATGGAGGAAGTGACAGGCCGGTGAGGTGGGGCCTGGGCTGAGCAGGGGCCCCGGGGGCGGGCCGGCCCCTATACTCACCGGGTGCCGGGAAAAGAGACTGAGGAACATAGTGACGGTGAGCGGACTGTTGCGCCTGGTCAGGAAGGAGGTCAGCGCCGAGGAGTAGATCGGGGTCACGAGGCTCAAATCCAAGCCGCCGGCAGCCTGGGCCACCCGAGAGAGAGCCCGTGTGACGCAGGGCAGAGGGTCCCCGGTCCGGGGCAGAGCGCGGACCGCCTTCGGAAGGCCGAGAGCTGGGTCCCCGGGAGTCGTGGCCTCCACTCCCCATCTGTGAAACAGGCAGGCGGCCCCGGCCGGCTGCCTGGGTGCGCCGTGGGCCGTGACTTCCGGGGCGGGGCCCACTCACCTCGGGGCCCTTGGGCTGGGAGCCGGCCTTCTCCTTCTTGGGGGCCTTGCACACAGGCTTGCCGGCAGCGTTGCCTTTCAGGACGCGGAGCAGGTACAGGGCCGCGTTGAAATAGTAGAGGGACACGGCGGCGTCGGCCTGGCGGCCGGCCTGCTGCACCAGCCGCTCCACCTGGGCGTACAGGGTCCCCACGAGGCGCCCCACGTCGTGGCAGTAGTGCCGGGAGCGGCACAGGTGGTGTCTGTGGAGCCGTGGGGGAAGAGCCGGTCACCACACCTCCGCCACCCTCCCTGCCGAGAACAGGGACGCGACCAAAGCTGCAGGGGGCGGCCCAGGGCCACCTGCATTTGCCGAACACGAGCCAGAGAAACCAGCCCCCAGGGACAAGGCTGCACCATGGGAAACCCAGTCCACGTCTCCCGTCTGCCCCCATGCCCCGTGGGACAGTGGCCCCTGAGCCCTTTCTAACGTGAGGGTCGGTGTCCTCGGGGGAAGAGAAGTAGGTCACTCAACCAGCTCAGCGCTGCCCAGACAGGTGGCAGGGACAGCCAGGAAGCGTCACCTGGGGCACTGTCTGTCCCGCTCTCCCCCATTCCTCTGTGACCTAAGCTCGGCATCTCGCGTCTGAGCTAGGCCGCGTCTCTGCTCCGGAAGGCAGGTCTGCACCCCCCACCTGTGTCGTCTCTCTTGCTGGGCCCCCTGCTCCGGGACGACCCACCCACTCATCGTCCCTTCCTAAATGCAAACTATCCCCCCGGGAGCTCCTGCTGATGAGAACAGCTCTGTGGACCCCCAACACTGATGGGCTCCGGGCCACCAGGCCTTCCTCGACCTGTGTGTGACCAGCTCCTGTCGAGAGACCACCTTCCCTGCCCTGCCTGGGGCCTCCAGGCCTGAGGACCCCTTTCCCAGCAAGGGTTCCCTGGTACCTCAAGAGGGGCCCCTGGGCCCCAC